CCGCTGCCGCCGCCGCTCTGGCGTCCACCGCAGCTGCGCGCCACGTACTCCGTTTTGCCTCTCCTTTTCTTTCCTTTTGCTTGTCCTCTCCCCCTCTGCGCTTTACGTGCCACCGGCAGCTAAGAACGACTCTCGTAACACAACAGCATCAGCATTCTGCGGCAGGCTTAGGCAGGAACAGCAAGCATACAACCTATTACACAACCCAGGAACAAAGAACCCCGCAAAGATGACCGAGACCTTCGCATTCCAGGCTGAGATTAATCAGCTGATGTCTCTCATCATTAATACATTTTATTCTAACAAGGAAATCTTTCTGCGTGAGCTGATCAGCAACTCGTCCGATGCGTGCGACAAGGTCCGCTACCAGAGCCTGACGAACCAGGCTGTGCTCGGCGACGAGCCCCACCTGCGCGTCCGCGTGATCCCCGACAAGGCAAGCAAGACTCTGACGGTGGAGGACACCGGTATTGGCATGACCAAGGCGGAGCTGGTGAACAACCTGGGCACGATCGCGCGCTCCGGCACGAAGGCCTTTATGGAGGCGCTGGAGGCCGGCGGTGACATGAGCATGATTGGCCAGTTTGGTGTGGGCTTCTACTCGGCGTACCTTGTGGCGGACCGCGTGACGGTTGTGTCGAAGCACAACGACGACGAGGCGCACACGTGGGAGTCGTCTGCCGGCGGCACCTTCACAGTGACGCCGACGCCGGAGTGCGACCTGAAGCGCGGCACCCGCATTGTCCTGCACCTGAAGGAGGACCAGCAGGAGTACCTGGAGGAGCGTCGCCTGAAGGACCTCATCAAGAAGCACTCGGAGTTCATCGGCTACGACATTGAGCTGATGGTGGAGAAGACGACGGAGAAGGAGGTGACGGACGAGGACGAGGAGGCGGCGGCGAAGGAGGAGGAGGCGGGTGAGGAGCCGAAGGTGGAGGAGGTGAAGGACGACGCAGAGGAGGGGAAGAAGAAGAAGACGAAGAAGGTCAAGGAGGTGACGCAGGAGTTTGTGGTGCAGAACAAGCACAAGCCCCTCTGGACGCGCGACCCGAAGGACGTGACGAAGGAGGAGTACGCCGCCTTCTACAAGGCCATCTCGAACGACTGGGAGGAGCCGCTGTCGACGAAGCACTTCTCGGTGGAGGGCCAGCTGGAGTTCCGCGCGATCCTGTTCGTGCCGAAGCGTGCGCCGTTTGACATGTTTGAGCCCAACAAGAAGCGCAACAACATCAAGCTGTACGTGCGCCGCGTGTTTATCATGGACAACTGCGAGGACCTGTGCCCCGAGTGGCTCGGCTTCGTGCGCGGCGTGGTGGACAGCGAGGACCTGCCGCTGAACATTTCGCGTGAGAACCTGCAGCAGAACAAGATCCTCAAGGTGATTCGGAAGAACATCGTGAAGAAGGCGCTGGAGCTCTTTGAGGAGATCGCCGAGAACAAGGAGGACTACAAGAAGTTCTACGAGCAGTTCGGCAAGAACGTCAAGTTGGGCATCCACGAGGACAGCGCGAACCGCAAGAAGCTGATGGAGCTGCTGCGCTTCCACAGCTCGGAGTCCGGGGAGGACATGACGACGCTGAAGGACTACGTCACCCGGATGAAGGAGGGCCAGAAGTGCATCTACTACGTGACGGGCGACAGCAAGAAGAAGCTGGAGACCTCGCCGTTCATTGAGCAGGCGAGGCGCCGCGGGTTTGAAGTGCTGTTCATGACGGAGCCGATCGACGAGTACGTGATGCAGCAGGTGAAGGACTTTGAGGACAAGAAGTTCGCGTGCCTGACGAAGGAGGGCGTGCACTTTGAGGAGACGGAGGAGGAGAAGAAGCAGCGGGAGGAGGAGAAGGCCGCGTACGAGCGTCTCTGCAAGGCGATGAAGGAGGTTCTGGGCGACAAGGTGGAGAAGGTGGTGGTGTCGGAGCGCCTGGCGACGTCGCCCTGCATCCTCGTGACCTCGGAGTTCGGCTGGAGCGCGCACATGGAGCAGATTATGCGCAACCAGGCGCTGCGCGACTCGAGCATGTCCGCGTACATGATGTCGAAGAAGACGATGGAGATCAACCCGACGCACGCCATTGTGAAGGAGCTCAAGCGCCGCGTGGAGGCGGACGAGAACGACAAGGCCGTGAAGGACCTTGTCTACCTGCTCTTCGACACCGCACTGTTGACCTCTGGCTTCGCGCTGGACGATCCCACGTCGTACGCCGATCGCATCCACCGCATGATCAAGCTTGGCCTCTCGCTGGACGACGACGACAACGGCGAGGAGGAGGTGGCGTCCGCCCCTGCCGCCCCCGTGGAGGCCACCGCCGGCACCTCCAGCATGGAGCAGGTCGACTAGAGGCGGCGCCCCTTGCCGTGGGCTCGTCTCGAGGGACTATTCTTCCTCCTCTTTTTGATTTGGCCCTTCTTTGTTTTCCCCCCCTGCATGTGCAAGCACAGCATGTTTTTCTTTTCATTCCTTGGCGCGCCGTGTTTCCCTAGCAAGGAAATTCGCCCTGCCGACGCTATTATTATTATTACTATTACTATTACTATTACTATTATTGTTATTATTATTAATTGTCTTTGTTGGTTTGTTTACTTCGGGAAAAAGCAACAACGCAGAATGGAGTGGGGGGGGGGGGAAATGCCCCCCACGCCCACGCCTTTCTCGGCCCTGCCGCTGCCGCCGCCGCCGCCGCTCTGGCGTCCACCGCAGCTGCGCGCCACGTACTCCGTTTTGCCTCTCCTTTTCTTTCCTTTTGCTTGTCCTCTCCCCCTCTGCGCTTTACGTGCCACCGGCAGCTAAGAACGACTCTCGTAACACAACAGCATCAGCATTCTGCGGCAGGCTTAGGCAGGAACAGCAAGCATACAACCTATTACACAACCCAGGAACAAAGAACCCCGCAAAGATGACCGAGACCTTCGCATTCCAGGCTGAGATTAATCAGCTGATGTCTCTCATCATTAATACATTTTATTCTAACAAGGAAATCTTTCTGCGTGAGCTGATCAGCAACTCGTCCGATGCGTGCGACAAGGTCCGCTACCAGAGCCTGACGAACCAGGCTGTGCTCGGCGACGAGCCCCACCTGCGCGTCCGCGTGATCCCCGACAAGGCAAGCAAGACTCTGACGGTGGAGGACACCGGTATTGGCATGACCAAG